TTTTTTAAAATACGAGCACTTTCAACGATGCTAACGTTGTTATCCGATTACCGACGGAGCGTGTCGCGCGTACGTTTGAATTTCACACAACAAGTATATACTTAAGTACTTACGAATAACCTGTTCGAGGGAATTGACTTCTTTTTTCGGACGGACAATTTGTATATAATACTTTTCTGTTGAATAAAACGTATAACTCTTTCGTTGTGTCATTAGGCACAAAAAGGTTCGCTATGAAAGAGATATTAACGAAGAACTTTGCGATAGCGTATGGCAGAGTCTTCCGAAATATGAGATCGAATCGAAATGTATACGATATTTATGAGCACGCTCACGACATATTCGGGATTAATGGAAATGTATTTTGTCGTGTCACGGTGCCATCTATTTCGTCAGTATTATATCCGCGTAAGAGTACTGTCGCGTGTTAGTATACATATAACCTTCGGATACTATGCCAAGAGTATTGCGTATTGTACATCGTTCCTTGTAGTACCCTGACCGAGGCCAATACACGTACACGGATGAATGTAGGTACACGGACTATTGAGGCTCGTAGGCGTATTTGGTTACACTGTTCTCTAGCGAACGTTCACAAATGTAAGATTGTGTTTCTGAGATCAATGTAACCCAGATACCGTGCCGAATCAACAAGTACATATCGTGTTGTCGATACATAATGTGGATCATTGATGGGTGGAGACGGTGGAGAGACAAGATGGGTGGATATGTTAGAATGATTGAAGGAAATTCCACGCGCGATGATGGAATTAAAAAAATTGCAAATATTTCCCGTCTGGCGAGCATGAAATATCGCAGCCACTGTTAAACATCGGGCGAGAGAACCAAGTGACAAAAACCGATTTTAAAAACGTAACAGAAGTCCATAGATGAATGGTGAGCAACGAGACGTAAAGTCTGGAATGTTTGTCGATTTTATCGCGACCGTCGAAGGGTTAATTTAATTACATTGACCGGTACGAGCATCAATCTCTTTTTTTTCCCACCCTTTCGTGCCCCTTTCTTCGTTTCTTTCCTGGCGTGACATTGTTGCTACGTGTACAATCGCGTCAATTTTTTTTTATTTTTTTGCTGCCATTACATTTACCTCCCCCTATATATCTATCGGGGCACACGACAGGGACGCACTCATACCAAAGCCGGAAAAACATTGGCTGCACTTTCTGCATCGTCGTCTCGTTGATCCGTACGTGTCACGTAGGTGGCCACGGTATACGTACACACATCCTGATACCGAGTTTCGGGAATAATGGCGGTACTGCGTCCTGCCGTCGATTCATTTTTACCCAATTTCACGCACCGGTACACCGCGACCCATCCTCCTAGTCCCGCACGTACCCCCGCAACATCGCGCTTCACCCCCAAATCTCTTTCGAAATCGTCTCTGTTATCTGTTCTTTTTTCTTTCTTTTTGTTCTTTTTTCTTTCTTTTTGTTCTTTTTTTCCTCCCTCTGGTGATTTGTCTGTCGCTTTTCCTCCCGCGTTTCTCTGTTTCTTTCGAGCCAACCCTCGTGGCGGTTCCTCGTCGAAAACCGCGTTTTCGCTCTTAATTTTCATCGCGTGAGAACGCACCCTGTTTTTGGCATCGTGGTTTATTTTCGCGGTGCACCTTCATCGTGTACGTGTAATGCGTTTTTCAATTGCGCGCCACCGGATCTGCTACCCTCGCGTTCCCCATCCTCTGCCCCGCGATCCCGATAGAATTTACTCGCCGCGTGCACGGCTCCGCTTCAGCACGCATCCGCCGGTTCTCTTTGTGTTGGTTAAAACGAACGCAAGCGCCTGCATTTTAATGTACTTTGCGTAAATTCGTTTCGCCGAAATATCGTTCACTTCGTTTGTCATGCGGTGGTTCCGCCCGGATGCATTGCTGTTTCAAGTGAATATATATATATATTTATTTCTTGTCAAAACTAGACAATTGACAATAAATTACAAAATTACTTAATCTGAATAGTGAGTACCGATGAATATCGAAGTACAGCTTCGTGGTCTGACGATTGTCGATTGTCCTTTTGCCTTGATTTAGGGATATATTTATGATAGTGTTGGTAGAAATACATATAAGTGGTTCTACGTGGAGGGGATGATTCTAGAAATCATAATCAAGTTTCAAATTATTTTCACACCTTGTTTCTTGCCAAATCGTTGCCTAAGGATATCAATGGGTATGGATAATTACAAACTTATCTACCTTCGTTGGTTAGAAGAAACTGAGACAAGTGAATGAAAAATACGTATAGATTTCAAGATACATACGAATGAAAACGATCTTCGGATTTCTGATAATAAGGGGTATGTGTCAGGAATCTGAGAATGACCGAATTAGGTAGAGTATCTGCAAATTGCCGATGTAAAAACGTGATGGCGCGATATATGCGAATTATACATTATACCGGCAGTGTATTACATATATACATATTGCTATATACAGCGTGTTATATTCGAGTCTGTATTCCTCTTTCTCGTCCCGATTCTCTTTTTCTATCTACGAGTACAGGCTCTCTTGGCGACCATAACACATTCATATTAAATCGAGAATTTATGCAAGCTCATTGCCGGAGACAAAGTGCAGCTGGCGTGTCCGGCTCCTCTCGTCGTTCGTTCAATTTCTCTGATCTTGCATCTCGTCTTGCGGCAATTTTCTTCAATTTCGCCGGCGGAACAGGCCAGGAAAAATCATCGGGTTGTTGTTCGAAAACGTATAACATTACGGTAGATCACATGGTCTTGTTATCGTCGCGGCTTTGCCCGGCGGTTTATTCGATTCCCGGCCCCGTCAACATGTCGTAATGAGATTTAGTTGCAACGGTCGCGATATCCCTTGCTCGATGTAATTGTAGCAGGTAACGTTGCGTAAAGCATGCCAGAGGTAATTAATAATTTTACATTAATTATGCAACGGTATGGCTCAACGTTCTAATTAACGTCGCGCGCCACGGATAAATGCACCCCGTATTTTTCTATAAATTTCGCCGGGCTTCAGGTTGAACGTGATTCGACTGGCTGCGCGATTCGTTTAGTCAATTTCCAGATTTTCATCGCGTTCACCCGTATTTTTGTGTAAGTGTGTGTAACCCGTGCAACGTGGTATCAGGCATCCCGATGCTGGCTCCCCGTCCGATTCTCTTTTGCTAATTTCGCGGATTCGACCTAACAGCCGGCTGATAAATTATCCAATTTGCGCAACTTGGCGGTATGTACCGCGGATGAAAATTATTTATGCCGCGCGAAGCTGACGAAAAAAATTTCGTACGCAAGGCCCCGGTTAAATGTGACGCGATACGACCTCACTTTTAGCCACATTTACGAATCCGTGTTCGCGTGATAACGCCGAGACGAAAATATACCGAGCGCGAGAGGGAGACGCGGTTTTTTTCCTATTTTCTTCCCTGCCGCTCATTTTTTCGGGGAGAGGGGGGAGGAAACACCTTGTTGTCGGTGTTTGCCTTCGTAAACCTGCGCCGCGTGTCGGGAACTTTCTCTTCTCGAGACAGCCAGAGATTCAAGCGCCGGGTTGTGAATGGCGGACCACTCGAAAACGTAAAATCAGCCGTGCGGTCAAGTTACGCAAGTCGGGGACGAAAGAAAAAGTGTGAAACGGACGACGGAGAAAGGAGGGAGAGAAAGGACACGGCGCGTTGAATGAAATTGCGAAATGAAATAGAGATATTACAGGTATTTCTCTGTATCGTCGATGACAAAGCGGCGACGGGACTTTTAATTAATTAAAAGTGAGCAGCAGCAGCAGCAGCAGCAGATGCCGTAAGCGTGCGAGGCCGTTCCCAATTTTCGCGCAATTATACCCGTTGTCCGCAGTTTTGTAGGACACTTTCCGTGACTAACGGGTAAACGCCATTGTTGCCCAGTGGAAATGGATTGATGGAAACAATAGGCGGGACAGGGAAAAAGTGGGGTTAGCCGGACAGAGAGAAAGGGGTAAAGAGAGCTCGGTCATGTCACCACCGGCCAGTATCAATTATTTTCAAATTACGAATTTCACCGTAGCATAGTACAATTGATTTATCCGTGTCGTCCGAGTATAGACGATGCAATTGATCCCTGTCGTTCCCTCTATGGATCGCGTTGCATCGCGCCGAGAGAGACGCGTCATTTTTTTTTTTTTTTTTTTTTTTTTAACCCTCGCCTCTCTCGCTTCTCGATGTCTCTCTGCTGGCGTACACTAGAACGTGTTTCAGCTTTTCAAAGCCTTCGCTCTGGCGTACGTGGTATTTGATAATCGCTGCGTACTTAGGTACTTAGGTGCCTAACTCTTTTTTCACGTTATCTTTCCGCGGCGAAAATTTGCACGAGGTGCATAACAGGATTCTGCAGCACGTGAAGGGTCGATAGAATCTACGAGAGCAGTAAAATACGAGAATAAGAGACACGATTCGCTCCTCGACGTATGCACTCGTATATATACCCGTGGAAAATGTCTTGCTTTCATTCGGTGAAGCTCGTGCGCCAGGGAGATTGGATCTACGAGGCAGTCAATGAACGTATAAACGTATATGCGAGTCGGAATATTTTAAACGAACGTAATGTTAATATAATGAGGCAAACGGGGGGGGGAGGGGGAGGGGGAGGAGAAGGTATAGTATCTCTCGACCTCGATTCCGCTGAAACACCACGTGATGGAATAACGTGGAAAGGCACGGGCACACCGGTGCCCGAGAAACTTGAAACTCGCTTCGTGCCGATAAAGTTGCCAGATTGATCGAATCTATTCCACGATCCATGTTCCGATCGTTCTGCTAAATATTAATGTATTGTAATTCTAACTCGAGATCCGCAGCGTAAACGTGCGCTCGCCGTGCGATCTGGAAACTTGATTCTCTCACGCTCTCGACGTTTTCGTGTTCGAATTGCAATCGAGTTGATATCGCGATGAAACGCGGGATTTTCGTTTGGAAGATTCAATTCGTTCGAAAATCGACTGACAAAGTTCTGTTTGAATTGCAGCGTGCAGCTTGCGAGGAAATCGAAATGGTCGAGCTGTGCGGAACCGGACAACCGACTTCAGCGATGGGAGTGATGGGGATCGGTTCGGTAGTGTCCGCGGCGACGTCGTCCTCGTCCTCGTCGACGACGACCACGGCAGCCTCGTCGTCCGCGTCCGGGCGTGCCGGCGTCTTAGAAACGCAAGTTCGTGGCCAGTGGTATCGCGTGTTCGTCTCGTTGGAGGACGATTATCTGAGCATCTCGTTGGACGAGAGCTGCGAGACCAGCAACAACGCCCTGAACAACGGTAACATAAACAACAACAACGTGGACAGCCTGAACGATCCGGACGTGCCGGACTCGGTGGCCAATCAGAAACGTATCGTGCGCGTGGTGAAAAGCGACAACAACGGCCTCGGCATCTCGATCAAGGGTGGCAAAGAGAACAAAATGCCGATCCTCATCTCGAAGATCTTCAAGGGGATGGCCGCGGACGCGACGGAGCAGCTGTACGTGGGCGACGCTATTCTGGCTGTAAACGGGGAGGATCTGCGCGAGGCGACCCACGACGAAGCGGTGAAGGCGCTCAAGAGGGCTGGCAAGGTCGTCGAGCTGGAAGGTGAGTGAATTGTCAAACGATCCTCTTTCATTTGCATGTTTCTTCGCCGACTGAGACACTGGTCGGACCGGTATCTACGTGCCTTTATTCGGAGATATCCTTCAGACGGAAAAATATCCCATTTCGTTTCGCGATATATATATATATATATATATATAATATAAATATATAATATATATATATATATATATATATATATTCCGTATATATTTGATGATCATTGGCGCGTGAAAAGATGTACGAGCGAGATGAACAATTTAATCCACGATGACAGAGAGAAGCAATCGGAACGATTAGTCTCGCGACGCGTTGAGCAACGCGACGATTACGTACAGAGGTAGATGATAAATTTCTAAATGTCACGTGTAACGTGTTTTCTCCTCGGCGATACTCTGACAAAGTATTATTTCCCCGTCCGTTTTCTTTCGACGCTCTCGGCAGTCGTCTCGACAAGTGTATTTAACGCATCCACGTCCCCGTAAATAACGGACCTCTGGTTTCTTAACTGAATTCGATGAAACGAATTAAACCGGGAGAGCGTCGACGGTTCCCGTGTTTCCTTTGAGCGGTAATTCGCAGATAATTAATAGCCGGGCCGCGTTAGCGAAATCAGGATGCCCGGGCGCATCGAGTCCTGCACAGGAACTCGGCGGAAGTCTCGATTCGTGGAAACGTGAGCGTAAACGCAAACGCAGATTCGTTTAGTCGCGCGTCGCTTGAAGCGCTGAAACGTTCAACCGGAACTAGAAGTAGCTAGGTTAGCAAGCTCGACGACGATGACGACGACGACGACGACGACGACGACGACGATGCTGGGCCGACGAGTTTAGGGGGACATTAACGAGGTTTTCGCTCCAATTAGCTCAGAGTACACGGCGCATTAAGTTTCGCAGGTAGAGATTCCTGCCAGTTTCTGCAGGTCGTTTTAATATCGAATTCCTCGTCTTTGAACGGGGATTCGTGCCATTTGTGCGGCACTCGCGTTATTTCGAATCCGAGTCACTGTATCGCGGAGGTGATTCTCGCGAGGAAGCGGGCACGACAAAAGTGGCAGATCGAGGGACAGAGAAAGAGAAATAACGAAAGGAAGAGAGAGCATGATTGTGTCCGAAAGAGAGCTTTTAGCCTGATTAATGCACTAGTTTGAGAACGTTCTTTTCTTTTCTTTTTTTTCTTTTTTCTTTCGCGGCCGTTCTTCGAGGTGATAAGCGTTGTCGAGAGGAGGAAGGAAAAACTCGACGTTGCTCTTTCACCGTTTTCGGATTCGAGCCAGAGTAGAGGACGGAAATCAGTCTGATTTTGCAGTTTCCGCGCGAGTTCTCGCGGCATCGTACACCGCCTCCAGATGTACTATTATCAAAAAGTGTGAGACTGAAAGAAGCAACGCGGGGTGAAAGGTCGGCGAGAAAATGTGTACGGTGCTGCCTGGAGCGTTAAATGGCGCCTCACTTCTCTTCTCCTGGCTTTCTCGCTCTCTCTCTCTCTCTCTTTCTATTCGTCTTTCTTTCCTAGTTTCCCCCATCGTATTTGCAGGTTCTTTCTCTCTTCTCTCCCCGCTGCTGCTCCTCTCTTTTTTTTTTCTCTACCACCTTTTCTTTCCACGCTTTTATTTTACTTCCTTTGTGACTGGCTATCGTTTGTTTCTCGTACGAATCTGCTACGAGCGACACAAGCCTGCCCAGTGAAGCGCGACGTGCGCTCTCTCGTTGCACATGCTCGTGTCCGCCTGCACTTTGCATTTAACGTTCTCCTGCCGATCCGCGACACGTGTACATGTATATGTACACATCTCTCTGTACATGACTACGCGTACGTACGTACATACATACATACATACATACATACATACATACATACATACATGCATACACATACCGCGTACCAATACCGAGGGAGGGGGTCACGTCCGTGTGCAGCAACGTTGCACCGCTTCGGGGCTTTCAGAGCTGGCTGGCTTGGCAGCTCTGGCGCGCGATTGTATGCACGCGAACGCACCTGCACCGTTATTTTCCTCCTCGTGTCTGAAAAGCTCGCGCAACCAAAAATTCGGCGGGAGAACGGGCTCGTTATTGAGCTATTTTCGGTCCCGTCCGTTTACCGAAATCCGTTCCCCAACCGATGAAACTCGCCCGCTGTGAATGACCGGCTTCGACAGCTCGTTGCGTTTCGCATAATCGCGCGCGCGGTTTTCACGGAAAATTCTCGTCTCGCTCGCGCGTGCAATTCCAGGCCAGGAATAATACTACACCGGCGTATGTTCGTTCCTTCCCACTCCCTTCCACCGGCTGCGGTCCTTTCCCTTTTTGAAAATTTGGTAAATCGACGTCGAACAATTGTACGAGCGTATATTGCAGGAACAGTTTGCGGACTGCCGGAAAATTTAGTGAAATGGATCAGTGGTTCGTTATCGTTTCTGTCTTTTAATCGTTTTAGCACCGCGGTTTTACTGCGATCGCGTTGCTCAAATTTTATATCGAATAGCGTCACAGCGTTCGTCACGATTGTCAATGTATATACAATACGCTCGGTCCTATTTCTCCTTAATTACTTTCTCCTCGATTCACGTGCATATGCAAACAGGCAATTTTTATTTTTTTTTTTATCGTGTTGCTTGGCATTTTTCAACATCAAAGAAGCGCTATCGCGCCGCACGGCACTGTTCAACGCGGTTTTTAAAAATAGTCGCATTAATGGTGGCATTAAAACGGTTAACTATTAAAATCCCTCGGAAGAACCGATCTCTTCCGCTTAACGAATGCTTTGCGTTTCCTCCGAGTCACGACCGATATCGAATTTTGCTTCGTGTTTCACGTCGAAAAGGTAGCGTCGAACGAAACCTCCGAAAGGCACGGTTTCCAAAGTACAAAGAGAGAGAGAGAGAGAGAGAGAGAGAGAGTTTCTGCGCGTTCCACTCGCTGGATGTTACCCTCCGACCGGCGACATCTCGCTGCCTGACAGCTTTTCTTTTATTCAGACGCTTTCGGTACGATTTCTCGTGGCACGTAGCGCACGCCTTGCGTCGCACGTGCAACGTTCTTCCTTTTCTCTTACTTTTCCCCTCCCCGGTTTTCTCGATCCCCTCGCTTTTTCCATCACGACCGGTCGCCAGTTTTCACGTGGGTGATGCGAGGAATGCGATACTCGGAGCTGGCCTGTAGGTGTCCGCGCGAACGTGAGATGCAAAAGAGCGTCGGAGGACGCACGATCGCGTGGGCGGCCAAGCCCGAGAATCGAAAGAAGAAGGAGAGACAGTAACGAGTGGAGGAGCGCTGCGTTTGGAAGAGAGAACGCGATTGAAAGTCTGGGAAGAAAAGAAAGAGTGGATTACTGGTTGATCCAGCGTGTCATGGAGATCGACTGGATGTGGCGGATGACAGAGGAGGAGAGGAGGAGTGACACAAGGAAGACGATAGAGAGAGGATAGAGAGAGGATGGTGCGAGAGACTTGGAATACGTTAGCCGAGGAGGATTTTCATCGGGTGGACCCGGCTGTGTGTCTCGTTTAAGCGAGAGTTCGCCGAAAACTTCCGGCTCCGCGGGATAAAATTGCAGTCAAGTTGGCCCCATCAGGTTGACAAAGTTTCGGAAAAGGGCTCGCCTCGGCCGAGCCTTCGAGTCGAATAGAAGTTACTACCCTGCCTGATAAACGAAGTCGAATTTATTGCCGCTTCCAGATTTATCCTGATTTATTGTATCGATCCCCTTTCTTTCGAGCCTCTCCCTTCCTTTTTTCTTCGACTTCGCCCCTCGACGCGACTTCCTCCTCGGCGTGTATGAACGGTCTTCGACGGGCAAGATTGATTCGATCCTGATTTTCGTACAGAGTTCTACGACTCACGCCGGCGACTCCTCGAGTTTTTATCGTACGCAGGAAACAGAGGAAAGTTTCTTCCGATCCGCTGGATCGTCCGCCATTCGATTTACGCTCCGGCAGATATCCGCCCTCTTCGTCGAAGACGGAGCGCGATATTTTAAGAAACTTGCGACGCAGGCAGGTTAAGGATACATTTAATAAGACTAGTCTGCAATAACGATTTAATTCAATTCAGTTTTAATTCGAATGTTTCATTGAACTCTTTCAACTAATATATAACAATAATTCAGCTGAGCGAAGATTCTCAAATTTTCTTTCTCTGAACTCTTCAACAATTCGCGTGGAGATACTTCCTTCGTACATCTTCTATCTCACGTTCGCAATTTATTCGCGCGTTCGCAAATCATTTCTCGTTGGCCAGCAATATCGCAGCGCGGACGGTTCTAAATCGCACATCGTCCGCGCGAGTTCTCTAACGCTGGCGCGGTATGGATTAGCAGGGGGGGTTGAAAAATTCGCGGGCCCGCTCGATATCACTTCTGCCGTAAGAGATCTCCTTACGGCTTCGCGTGACTTTTCTTCGCGGTTATCTATTCACCGACAATCTGAACGTCGGATCTGCTGAATTCCGTCCGTGAAATATCACGTGGCCTTGATTATGGATCGTCTGGCGGAGGCACACGATCCACATTCCCTTGTACCCTTGGCGCGTTGCTCGGCTCGGCGATCCACGCGATCGTCGGAATCAAACGATTTCAATATAGCGTGCTTGTGTTACCGGATTGGGTTGCTCGGCCGATTCTTGCACGCCCACGGTTTACATAAGAGTACCTGTTAATACGGATCCGGCAGGTGATACTCGTTACTCGCGATGACGACGCGACTGGCGTTGATCGCTGGCCTTGGAACAACGGCCGTGCACATTGTGCAACGATCGAGGTTGAGTTTCGAAAAGGGGAACGAGTGTCTTGGAAAGCGTTTTGCCTTGCTATAATTGCTGTAGTATAATCGCTGCACGATCGTTACGAAACTCCCTATGTATGTGACGTGTGATTCTCCATTCTCCGGTTCTTCCCGTGAAACTGTAAGATCACTCTTGCCTCGCTTGTCGCTTGCCAAACCAAGTCTCGCGCCGATCAACGCGCCCGGCGTAGTTCGAGGAAGAGGAAAATTCGAGTTTTACTGGAATTTTAA